CCAACTGCAAACCCTCCAGATTGCGGATATACTCAGTCTATCACGTAACCGTAACCACGCTGAGGGAACATTTCAAGTTAGGCTTATTCTAGAAATAGTTTGTTTTTGTTTTCTTTTTGATCTCGATCATCTATCAGAACTAACCACTCCGTTGTTGTCATGGCGCACCAATGAGTGCAAAGATAAATAAATAAATAAATAACCATTAATTAATTGTATACTGTATTGTGATGTGTCGAACCGTAGACCTTCCGAACTTATAAAGCTCAGACAAATCAAAAATTTACCCTTTTCTGATTTCGATTTCACCAGAAAACCAACCAATTATTTAGCATCCTTAAAATACAACTAGACCAACTTGTGCATAGTCCTCGTAATCCCCCTCCTTTCTCCCACCGCTGCGTTCCGTTAAAAATAAGCAAGGAATTCTGAGTAGATGCGCTGCCGTTTCAGATGTGATCCACACCTTCACAGTCTAAAACACACCAATCCTTGAAGAACTTAAAGTTTCTCAAGGATTGGTGCGAATGGCAGAACTAAAACTAGTAATCATGTTAACATCAACTTATAAAAAGGCGAAAAGTTTAATGTGAAGAAAATGAGATTGCTAAAATCTGACTTCAGAAGGATGATTGAACGTTGAAGAATTTTTGAGATCACATCAAAAACTGAAACCTTTCTAGGTTGCCTGGGACCTTTCGGCTCCCGCGTTTCCATTTCCTTGTGCTTCTTGCTCGCCATGTGATCTGCCAACGCATTTTTCGACTTCAGTTTCTTTCGACATGTGGCGCAATATAGTGCAGTCGAATCCTCTTCCTCTTTTTTCAACGCCTTAACCAAATAATACTGACCATAAGGGGACAAAGAACAGGAGACAAATTGGAACAAAAGCGTCCAATGAAAAAAAAATATTTGAAAATGTCAACTGCCATTTACCTCTTGTTCGCTCCTGAACGTCAACACCTTGTCGCGAAACTGTTCAGCTGTGACTGGAGGTAGTTCACTGACCTAAATTTTGAGATATGGCATATTTCAACAATAAACACCTTCCCACGTCTTATATCAAACAAGTTGAACGTAGAGAGAGAACACGTACAAGAGAATTGTGAAGAGCTATATAAAAAACGGGTTCGCCACCTATCGCGGACAGGGGGATAGAGCGCAGAAGGATTGGACAAGTTGTCTACACTATCCCTACCGCCCACGCTACATTCGCCCCTACAGCCTATCTGAAATGATGCTGGCGTAGCGCGAAAACTCCGGCCACTTGATGCTCAGCGTCTACGACTGACTCACGGTAGGTACCATAATCAAAAATAGATAGGAAGCTTGAAAACACTGTCTCTTCACAATAATATAGCGAGCAATCTGTTCTGTAGTGATCGCGTTGAAGTTCAGCTGTCTTGAAAACAAGATGGCAAGCAACACAGGTGAATCCTGTTGACGGATCTAACGACATGACTTTTGCTGACTAAAATGTTTTGAATACCATTATGAAGTTCACGACGAACAAAAAGAATTTAAACATTGAATACAAAGTAAATCTCATCAGAAACTTCCACGGTGAAAACCATGAACGAAAAAGGGAGACAACAAATATCAACTCTTTGTTCATTTACAACAACGATATAACAAACCACACGAGTCAACGAAGAAGAACAGTAGCTCTTTATAGATCTCCAGGGAGCAATAACAATAAAACCTTCAACAACGTGGAAAACACTTCCAACAGACACACTCATAAGGAACATGCAATTACCAACAATCACTTTAGGCTTTGATCTTCGACCGCAACTCCGATTCGTCCTCGTATGCCTTCTTTTGGGTGCCTGCAACAAATTCAATTATTCAGAACACTCGAGAATTACGGGTGACTGCTACCAATTTAGGCTATAGCGGCAAAATACTTTGTTAGTGAGTGGAAAAGACAAGTCTCCTTTTAATTCGCTGCTATGGCGGAATTGAACGTGCTGTATAGATATTTGCTAACTGCTCCTACCGCAATGAGTGGAAATGAAGGATATGACCTAGGACCTTGATGTGTTCCGTTATCACAGTCATTGAAAATATATAAATTATTTGCGGTGATAGAAAAAGCGGACCCGTGCAGCACCCGAGATATGTCCCCGAACGCCCTATTCTCCCCAAGCCACTGCAAAGGGAAATAAGCTTAGAGAGAACCAGAAAAAAATACAGACCTTCTTTTTGAGCTGCTTCTTCTTACTGTCCGACTTTTTCGGTTTCTTCTTCGGTGGTTCTTCAGATGTTTCGCCTTCACTCTCTTCTTCCTCATCCTCGTCGCTCTATAAATAAGAACACAATATTCGAAAGCACCACTAATCTATGGGAGCAGAATTCAATGCCAACCTCATCCGGTCGCTGCCAATCGTCTTCCTCGCTATCGGTCTCAGGAGGGGACCACTGGCCCACCAGCTGTGTCCTCGATGTCATCTCCCTCTTCCTCATCCGACGACTCGAAATCAGCCACGTACTGCATCCGGCCCACATCCTTGAAATCCGAGCTTTACTTAACCAACAGAGGAACGGAACTATTACCAAAATTCACAAAAATTGAATGAGAACGTATAAAAGTGTCATGAAACGCAAAATCCAAACTCAGTCGGTATTATGCCGGCCTGTAACCTTACAATGGAAAGAAAGGCAGCAAATAACAAGAGGATCCCTCTCTGTTTGTGACGTCATCAAATCAGTGGTCAAAAATTTTACAAACTCATAAATAGGATGAAACATTCAAGCTTTACTTCTAATGAGACTTACCAAGTGGGTGAACCTTTCAACGAATTAAGGATTTGCTATCGAGAGGCTTGGGGATTCGATGAGCATGATTTTCCAAGATGAATATTGCATTGGAAGAAAATGGAAATAATTTTCAAGTTTACCGTACCTCATCATCCTCCACTTCAACTTCTTGCTCTCGTTCCATTGTTGTTTCATTCTCATCAGCATATGTTCAAAGGCTTCCTGACGGAAGTTGTAATATATCCCCGTAAGTACCTTGCTCTAAAAAACAGACAAACTAGACAATAAATCATAACCAAACTTTAACGACGACCTTGAGAAGAGTAAAACTTACCGTAACCGTGAAAGCAGCTCACTTTCAATAGCCTTATCCAACTTGGCAGCAACTAATGCCTTTTCTTCACGGCGTTTCTCACGTCGTTCTACTTTACGCCCAACCGGTATGATTTTCTTTTGTCTGAAAACTTTTAACTAAATTTTAACAGAGATGTTAGCTCTGTTGTGCGGGATACTTACGTCCCCTTGAGAGCCATTTTTCTCATACGAATAAGATACTGATGGATTCGAATGAGACGGGCTTTGCATTTGTGACGAACGTATTCACTCCAGTGGAGAAGAGCATCACTAATCTGTTCCAAGGCCTGAAAATTCGTCGGTGATAGAAGAATAAAAGAGCAAGTCCATAAAAAAAACGATGAAAGCGTCGAATACTTGAGATGGCCAAAACTGCACGAAAAGTAGGAGCGTAAAGAAGCAAGAAAAAAAGCACAGTGGCAAACTACCTTATTCATGTCCTTTGAAAGTTTCGTCTTTTCCCATAGCCTTCTTGGATAATGACTTCTTTCGATAACTTTACAGTACAAATAGCAAACACCTAAAAAAAAACAGTTAAAACGGCGAACGTCCAAGAGCAGTAATAATCGAAGGGATCCTTAGACCTCAAAGATTGGTCCGGATCTCCTAGAGCCGGAAACTAAACGCCTTTGCTGGCGGTGCACGCCTTTAATAAACAGTGTGGGCCGCCAACAATGGTTGCAAAAATTCTCTCTCTCCAATTTCAAGGTTCCGCAAAAACAGACACCTATGGAGCCAGAGAAAACACATGTCGAGAACCTAAGAGAAAACGCGCTTCTGTTAAGCTGTACGAAGCTAAAACATAATGGATGTGTGAGGCTCTCACACGGCTAGCTGTAATTACATGGCTGCTTGTATCCCATAAAGCACACTAACTTTTCTAATCGATTGCTAAAAGGTAGGATGTAAGCATTTGAATTGATCTCTTTTAAAAGCCCATCAAGAGCTAATATTACAATATATATATATGAATATAATTAATATAATTAAATAATATGAATAAAATATATATAATTCGTGAAGCAACTCATCTTTCGACAAGCGAGGCCGATTTATACAACCGCTCACACTGACCTGACCCGTGACAACGTGCAAAAAAGATGTACCCAAAAACGTGATTCCTCACTCCCTTATACGACTTATTGGATCGGATAACAGCTTACAAGGGAAGGATCCAGGTCGAAGTGGCCATTTGTAACGAGACATACACCACTAGATGTGTTTTTGGACGCTGATCTCGAATCTGCTCTCCAAATCTGCGGAACGATTCTCTGAACGTAGTTATGAAGCGAGATAGTGCAGTGGCAGCGGCCCAGGCCGACGGGAAAGACGTCGTGAGGATCGAATTTTCGGCGAGTTTTGACTTTTGCTTTTCCTGAGGACATTGTTAAGGAAATCCTCATCTATGCTAAGTCATCAGCACTCGCCTTTATTACTAGTGCGAGGAGATAGCGAGGAGTTTCGATCAAGTGTGCGTGCCATGTGCAAATGACCAACGGTGACTGCCCACATTTGCAAAGTTAGGTACAAATTTCAGATTTGGACCAAAAGTTGTGGAAAGGGGCATTTTGACGCGCTGAATACGAATATCACCTCTGTTTGGCACGAATGCGCCTGACGCGTGCGCTACGAGTACAAGGGGCGATCTTTTGCGAATGGCGCGCACAGTGTTAGATGCTCCTCGCTAGCTATTCCCACTTGTAATATAGGCAATCGCTAATAATTTATATGGATAAAAGCATCTTTAGCAATGTCTCAAGGAAAGCAAATGTGAGATATCGCCAAGAATTCGATCCCACGACCTCTTTTCTCGTCGGCCGGGCCGCTGCCACTGCACTATCTCGCTTCATAACTACGTTCAGAGAATCGTTCCGCAGATTTGGAGAGCAGATTCGAGATCAGCGTCCAAAAACACATCTAGTGGTGTATGTCTCGTTACAAATGGCCACTTCGACCTGGTATCCTTCCCTTGTTAGTTACAGAACGAAACAGCAGGGTCCAAAACATCCACGCTCTCAGGCCACTAAGACCTTAGTTGCAGGAGATTGTTACCATTGTTAAATCTGTGTCCCATATGATTCACATACTGCTTATTGTTAGACAACTTAGAGGAATGTTGTCGAACCCGGCTAAGTGAACGACTTCTCGATAAGCGGATGCTCTATCATAGAAATTGAAACAAATTTCCGACTGGAAATGAACTCTTTGAAAATATGCTACACTCACCATTTTCTTCCCTAACTGTCGCATACTGAGAATTCGCTAAAGGACAAGACGCACGATTACACAGACCCGTCAAATTCATCTCATTTCGGCAAAACAAGGTTGGTTTGGTCCTGAAATGCAATAGTTATACAAGTGAACAACTCTACTGAAATGTCGCAAGAGCTTTGTCAGTACAACAAAAAACCCTTTAGTTAGTATATCACCACTTAGTGATAGATATTATTATATGCATGCGTCTTTTCGCAAATTCTTGTACTTCAATCAATTTTCCCCCCCCCAAAAAAATTTTCGTTGTGCGGGCAGACTTTGGGAATACCTTATAATTTAGCAAGAAGGACGATGGCATCTTCCTAAATGGTGTATGAACTGGCCTTGAGATCAGATGCAGGTCGTGGCCTCAACCAGAGGAAAAGGAATAACGGTCAATAGATTATGCCACGGAGGTACTACTTGTCCACTTTTTGGGACATAAGTTGCAGGCTGAGACCGAAAAAAAATAGGATTGGGAAACAACAGTGCCGTGAGACTTTCCCCTACCCCGTCCCAGATTTTTGATGAAAATTAGGTTTCCGAGTGGAATTACTTCAGATTGAGCAGATTCGCGGACACTTTTCTTGAACCATGACACCAACAATCAGAGAGGATTGGTACTGGTTATGGCGTAAGGGGGCTCGTGCCAAGACCTCCGTGAAAGAAGGTAATTTTGAAGCGGCAATTTCTTCGATACGATCTTCACTCTGCACCGGAGCGCATGCATGGAAAGCGCTTATTTGTTGTGCACACGCACGACTACTGCTTGATTAGAAGTGCAAATGTTAATGAACAGCTTCGAGGGGACCTGGATCTATCCCAATAAAGTAATAAGGGTCATGCCACCGACAGTAACAAAAATGTCGCAGAGAAGGAAGCTTCAGGGTGGGTGTAGAAGCGAATAGAAACAACTCGCAACCAGGGTTTCTTTTCTGTAAAAATTGGAGCAACGGGAAATCAGCAGACGCCCCTTCACTGGATTAAACCTGAAACTTGCATACAGTGGGTGTGAGAATAAACAAGGCAGTTGTCAGGAATTCCCACAAAGCAGTAATGGGATGGTTCTACGAAGTTTTGGTATAGGAACGAAAAGGCCGAGCTTCTCCTCCATTCGCTTGCTCAAATTTTTTTTAGATAACCTCTAAAGGTTTTTTAGAGAAGATTTACTAACATACGCGTACCAACTTCGACGACCACTGTGAACTGAGAGAAGAACACCGGGTCCATTCCAGTTAGGGGGCATCATGATGCAGTTTCTCGGCGAACTCGAACATTCCAGCTTTTCACGCATGTCAAGTGACTGCCCTCACCCCCCACCCCTAGACTGGCTACACTCCCCTGGCTCGGAGTTACCCTAGCTTTCTGGAAAAACTGCATCATGATGCCCCCTAACTGGAATAGACCCAAAAAATCTTTCGACAAAGAAGCTTACCATGCCTTGAAGGCACACTGGCCTTTACGAAGAATATTCCATGTGATATCGTCACACTGCATCCCATGTAATGATTCGGGATGTTACCTGTAAACAAGACCGAATACAACACCATACAATCAAAGACACTTTTAGGATACCCTCAGCCTGACATGAATACATCGAATGAGAAAAG